TATAATGTTGGTGTAACTTGTTAAATTTGAAGGTTATGTAGTTCATTCTTTACCTCATATCACACATAAAAATACATTTTCAAAGAATATAAAAATAAAACCACAAAAGTAACATTAAAAAATAAAGATAAATTTTTATCTAATTGTTAACCAGGTCATTTTTGGTAGAATTTTCATTTAATATTTGTGAATTTGATTTTTATAGGCTCCACCCTCATTGTAAACTGCAACATAACAGACAGGAAGGATAATACAAATCTGCGGTGCTGGAGAGTCAATAGCACTTTGGTGGATATTTACTATGAAGAATCCAAACGCATCCAAGAAGGAATTGAGTAGGTGTTCTGTTTTTCTGGCTTCTCCCAGAGCGAGCAAGAATTTCTCCATTTATGTGATTTTGGTGTTAATACTGCTTTTTGGATGGTTCTCACTGCCTCCTCATCCTTTTGACTTTGTCTTTCAAAGATCTTCTCAGTGCTGTGTATGAGCAAGCATCTGGTTCAAAGAAGTGTGAGGGGCTGATTATTCATTCCCACCATGTCCTAGTTAGAGATGAGGCCAAACATGAAGTATGGCCTTCAGGCAAGAAAATTGATTTCTGTCAGCTCCTGCTTAAGGCCAGTCTCATTCCTAGTTGGTCATATGATGAACCAGAAGCCTTCGAGGCTTAAATAGCAAAATAATAGGTGGTAACTCAGGGACTCTTGGGGGAAGCAGTATGTAATCATTAGCTGATTCAATGGTATGAACCAATTTTATGGTGGTGGAAATTGAAAGGTGTGACAGAAGACTCGTGGAGTTGGAGGACAGGAGAACTTGTGTTGGCCTTGCAGTGTAGCTAAGTGGAGAGGAAGAGAGAGAAGAAGGCCCTTCAGGGCTGGGATGGTGTCTGAAATTAGCAGAATTATACTTCCTCATCACGATCCAGATGGTAATGCAAATTTGGGACCTCACGACGCACATACCTCTTTGATTCACTCCGAGAAATACTCGTTGGGTAAAATGGCGGCCTAACGTGTCCTCTGAAAGGGAACCTTATCTTCCAGACTAAAGGTTATAAAATACATTGGGTAAAATGTGACTCATGTATTAATGATTGGCTCTTTTCTTCTACAGAACCCATGTTATTTTTCCGGAACATATTTTTTACACAGTGAACATAACCTTCTTAGAAGTGAAAATGGAAGATTATGGCCACCCTTTCACGTGCCATGCTGGCGTGTCCGCAGCGTACTTTATGTTAAAACCCCCAGGTAATGTCCCCATGGGTTACATACTGTTCAGAGTTTTCAAAATGATGGCAAAGAAACACACAGGAAAGAGAAGTGACGTTAAGTGTTTAGTTTGAGGCAGCAGAGTGTTATTAAACAGAGAAACTGGATATGAAATCTAGGGAAGAGCTGATGGAATGTCTGACGATGCTCTTGCAGTGAGGCTGTGACTTTATTGTAGCATATTTTGCGCCATTTTAATATATATCGAGGTTTTAGGTACTGAAATTCTAGCACACAGAAGTGTTCCTTTATGAAACCTGATGGCTCAACTTTTAAAATCACATGCTTGTGCTTTTTCAGCTTTTAGGTTGTTTGTTAAATGTAATTTGATCTGAAAATTAAATGTTTATGTATGTTTTTATCATATAACTTTGTAAAATTACCTATAGAGGCTGAATTCTGATATTTGAGCAGGAGGCCTTCAAATGTGGTGTGTCTACACAAGTTGCACTATTATCACTGTACAGAGCATATCGACTCTCCATTGCAGGTGATAGAACCAGAGGGTAGACAGTGATGGATGAAATCATAACCTTGATAACAGCTTAAATTATTAACATACCAAGGGAAGTGTTTGAAGCCCCCTGTAAAATGTTGACGTGTAGCTTACCAAGACAGGTTTTTCTCTTTTGATTCTATTAATACCAACTTTATTTTTCTTGGCTAGCTACATGCAAGAGAGAGGGCTTCAATTTGCCAGTGTCCCTTTACAGAAATCTGCCCAACCTAGAAGTTTGAGTTCTTTGTTTCGTAACCTAGACTGAAGATGACCAGCGTAGAATTACATGCCAGTGCTGATTTATAGACACTGACGACTTGGAAGCACTGTGTTCAGAAGGATTCTGAGGCTAAGTCCTGGCTCAGAGGAAAATCGCTGTTAACAATTCATACCTGCCAATCATGTGGGAGGAAGGGGGCTAGTTTGCCTTCTCTGTTTTAGGTCAGTTGAGAAACCCGTGCTTCACCAAGTTTATCTTTGCTCCTATCCACACTAATTTCACTTCTCACACACAATGTGTTTTTGGACTTTTCTTTTGCCTGAGTTCTTAGAAATGTTACTCTCTTAAATCTAAGCCTCTCGTCGGTTTACCTGTGGCCAAAGGTGAGGTTAAAGCTTCTCCGTTTGACTTCCTTATTTTTGCTGAAAACACATCCAGATTGTATCTTATTTAGTTTGTCTGAAGCAGGATCATTAGAAAGTTAGTTGAATTGGGTATATCCGTCTGTGAGTTTCTTGTAATCATTTATTCTCAGCTACCATCTCAGTTTAAGGCTGGAGGTAGCCTTATGGACTCAAATGGCCAAAAATATCACCCTTAGCAGGGCCTTCAATGGGCATCTGGTGTCTTAACAGTGAGTTTTCCACTTATTTAAATTTCAAAGCTCAGACTCCCTTAGAACTTATTCATTAATGTTCTGTTTCCACTTTCATCATCTTTTAGCTCATTTATGGAGCAGAGGGTATCAATACTCCTAAATGCAGTGAATGGTCAACTCAATAATTTCTAACCATCACTCCTGTCTGCTTACCAGGGGCTTCTGAATCTCATAGGCAGTGTGGGCATGGTCTTCTTATCATGGCCATTTACTATACCAAGATCCCTGAAGTGGACATGAATCTGAAGTGGACATAGGTCCTCCCAAAAAGAGGGGTGGCATTGGTGCTCCAAGAGCTGGGGAAGGGTAAAGATGCGAAAGGATGGGAGGGAAGAGAGACTCCATCTAAAAGTTAGCAACTCATGGTTCAAACACGTGGTCAGGATCAGATCGGGCACCAGTGTGCAGAGCAGAGCTACCTCTACTTGGCCGTATTGGGGCTTAATCGATGGACTGATACATTTTCAGCACAGAATGTGCTTTTACTTACTGTGCTTCATTGTGCCATGTATTTAAAGACACCCGAGAGTAGCTAGGGATGTCTTTGGCCTCAAAATGTTTGCAACATGGTGTGGCCTAGGGCAGGTTGTGATATGCTCTTTAATGAGTATTTAAAAAGTGAAAGTGCTTTGGGAATTCAAAGATAAAGTAAAGTTCTCCTCCCTACTCTCCTGAACACATACCTTCTGGTGGAGACTGAAGGATCAGGAAGGGGGCCCGTGGAGGTAGTTGTGTATGTGGCGGGTTCTAAGACTGGGGAGGGTTTCCCTTCCTTTCTCTCCTTCCCTTTTTCTAAGTCTCCGCTTCCTAGAACCTCTTTCTTTGGCAACCCAGGTTTGGACTGCGGTAAGGAAGAACGCCGTGCCATTCGTCTTCTCAGATATGTAGGAAGGATCCTGTTTCTGCAGACTTGGCCTTCCATAGGAGCTGGTTCTGCTCCTTGGCCACCTCCTGCCCATGGCTTTTTCCATATTTGCTCTCCGGTGTGCTGAGCAAGCACAGCAGGGTGTCAGCACCCTTCCTGAGACTGCAGCTCTCAGGCCAGCACCTAGCCTGTACTCTGTTGTCCCAGCAAAGATGAGGTGGGTCGGGGTGTGGCTCATGGCCAACAGAGATGGAGGCAACCGATGGCTCCTTATTTATGACACGAGTCCCACTGCTCAATGTTGAATAACTGGGAAGGCAGTTATAACAATATTACTATCAAGAATGTGCAGTGGTGTCACGTGGACTACTTTTCTAATAATGTGCTCAAGCCTCACACCTGGAGAGTCTGGTGTTGACTAAATAGGACCTGGCCATGTGTGTTTTGATAGCAAGTGGAGCATGCCATGTCTGTTTTTGGGTGATCAGGTCCTACGGAATTTCCCTCCCCAGGTTCCCAAAATTTGTTTCCTGAAATTCATGGTTCAAACCATCTTATTCTACTCCCATACCTATTACTGAACTATAAATAAAAATGTTTAAGCAGCGTTCTCATCGACATTTGGCATTTGCAATGTGATCCATGTAAGTAAAGTGTATAATCGACACTTCGTATTATTATTTTATTTTTTTTTGCTGTCATTTGTAGAGCCAGATTTTCGCGCTAGCTTGATAGGAGGGCTTCTCGCCTTTGCAGGTGTGACAGCGCTCGCTATGTACACCTACACCTTTTATAAGATTGATGTCGTGCTTTGGTATCGAAGTGCCTTCCAATCTATGAGAACCATAGAAGGTAAGTGTGGGGAAGCGGAGAAAAATGCCTCAGAATTGGTGTTTGCTCATCCACATAACCATTGTAAATATACTTGATCGTATTTTACTAGCTTGCCTTCTGTGTTGTTGGCAAATTTAGAGGAAGAAGTCTCCCTGGAATGTTCCATACTTCTGATAAATGATTTGCCCAAGACCACAAGCATTGTTCAGTCGAATCAGGCTTGCAGGCCAGTAGTGAAGGAGTGACAAAACATTTGCTGAAAGTCAGGACCAGTCACCTTCTGAGTCCCACTGCAACCATTTCAGAATGGTTCTCACACCTGCTGGTGTTTGCAAAAGAAGAGAATGTCTCCTAGGGCAAAGTGCCCTTATCTATGATGCACCTTCAACACAGTGGATGCGTGGACAAAAGTTATGTTATGGAAGACGACCAGCTGCCAATGGTTGCAGCACTCGACACTTGGTGCCTGAAAAGATTTAAGTCTCCAGCTTTTGAATTTGAAGAGAGACAGTCCTGAGTTTGAATTTGAGTTCTCTGCTTACTCCCTGTGTGATCCTAGGAAGATATTTAATTTTCTTTTCTTTCTTAGTTATGGAATGAGAGAGAGGAAGGAAGGACAAATGGAATGAAAGAAGAAAGGAAGGTAGGAAGGAAGGAAGACAGGAAGGCAGGAAGGAAGGAAGGAAGGAAGAAAGGAAGGAAGGGAAAATGATCTGCTCCTGCCTCACAGAGTGCTGTGGGGGCAATTGAGTTTAAGTCCAGGAAAGCACCGAGCAGGGGACCCTGGGGTACAGGAGGGCTCCTTATTGCCTAGAGGTCAAAGCGAGCTGCCTGTGCTGCTGTGCCTGGGAGTTTTAGTGTGTTCTGTGGATCCTGTGACCTGCCGGCACTATTCAGCACAGAAATGTCCAGTGTGGTTCTGAGACCCTGAGAAGCAAGCATTTCCTGCCTTTGTGGCTTTAACTCCAGGATATAGATAGTGTCTTAGAATGGATGTGATCTATTAAGGCCTTGATAAAAGTAATAAATCTGCTCTACAGTGCCCTGACTGGATGGAAAAATTAATAGCAGGCTGAGAGGAGTCTGTGTGGCTCACACTTGTGGAGCTGCACAAATTTATACCTTACAAGTCTGGAGACTCACAATGCTGAAAGAGCAGCGACGTGGGGAAGATGGGTGTCCCACGTGTTTTGTGAGTCTCTGTTACAGAGAAGGCCCTGTTTACCCTAAGTGCCTGCTTTGCGTATAAAAACATAGTAGTAGTTGTTGCCCATGTGTTTGATGAAACGCAAATGTTCTCACTCGGACTTTATTCTACATTAAATTTTAGAATCAAACTTGGCAACCCTTGAGCAACAAAGAAAGGAACAAATACATATACATTATTTCCATGACAAAGTTCAATTGTGGCATTCTGGTTTTGTGTGCTCAGTGAGCCTCTGGTGCTATGGACAGTCCGCCAGATCTGGAGTTTCTGTTGGGGCAGCTCCCTGCGAGCCTGCCTGTGCCTGAGTTGTGGCCTGCATATGCTGAGAAGAGACTTTAGTGTGCCATTACTTGTCTCTTCTGACACACAGATGTGAGTGGTTCGGCTGTCTTCTGTTTATTGACTGACGGGGAACTATGTTGACTTAGATGATATTTCTGGAACTCTAGCCCTGTGATGTTTGTCACTCCCTGACTCATAACAACTCTCAGAAGTGTGAGTGATGAGTGCGTGGCAAATTTGCCTGTTCGTGAGGTCGAGTTTAGCAGGAAGAGCAAAAAGGAACAGTGACTCACCCTGAGCCGGGGGAGCTGAGCAGATGAGACTTGGAGAGCCCTGCCCTCTGCTGAGCTTGGCCTGCAGCCCCAATTCAGAATCCTCAGTGGCCTGAGGATTTGGTGAGCACACTTACGGTCAGCCAGTTGTCCTCTTTTTTTTTTCTTTTCTTCTTTTTTAATCCAGCCTCACTTTTATGATTAACTTCTCGACAGCTCAGTCTATGAAAACTACCCTGTAATACCCACTGGAGTGTTGCTTTACAGTGACCTGGTGATAAGACTCAAAGATGAGTCGCAGATTCTGGTTTCATCTTTCGTCTTGCTTTCTTGGAGGATAATTTCTGATTTTTGTGGGGTAATGGACAGCAAACACAAATGAGGAGGAAAGAGAAATTGTGTCTTTTTTACAATAAAGTATTTATTCCATAGATTTGTCAGGCTTTATAAGTGATGAATAGTTACGTGTGTCTAACTCACTATTGTGTTAAAAGTCATCAACAGGCCTAGCTAAAGTCCACAAGTTCTGTGCATTGTCTAATAAGTCACAGGAGGTGCTTTAACAATTCTTCTGCCAGGTGCGCATGTGTGTACAATAGTACAAAGATCAGTTTACAAATTGGCTCGAGTGATGTGTATATGCCTCATCCTATTCCAAATAAATTTGAGGAGAATGTTCACATAGAACAGAATGATCAAAAACAAAAACAAAATAGGTACAGTGCACAAGGGAAGCAAAGGAAGAATAGTAAAATAAAGCCAGAGTAGAGGTCCTGACCAACCTTGGACAGTTTTAAAGGTGAACTTGCTTTAGAAACAAAAGCAAAAGCAATTACGTGGTTCATTGTGTGCCGTTCACAAAAAACCTCTCAGATGCTCATGAGAGCACATGGCCTTTTCTGGGACAATTTTCCAAGAAACATCTAGTTTTTTTGTAGGGAGTTTCATTTCTAAAGGACGTGATTCATTGATCCTTGTGTGAGACAAAATTTCCATGATAAATGTAACAGATTTCATGTGGTTTTTCTTCTAGTGTCTTCTATGTATTTACAGGGCTTCAACACTGAATCTCGTGCAATTCAGAGAAAGCAATTGTTTGTCTAATTTTTCTACTGGTCTAGTTTGGTCAGATTTAACATTTAGCAATATCATATCAAGAGAATGTAGGGAATTGAATTGAATAATTTTTAGGCAATCTGTCATAAACATTAATTTATGTGACTCAATTTTTACATTTTGGCCAACAGCCAATAAGGACATATGCAGATGCTTTAACAACAATAACAGGGTTGAATTTCCTCAGAAAACAAAAGGAATTTCTCCAGAACCTGAATAAGCTGTCACCCACCACTATATAGAGGTGGGCTGTGAGCTTCTGGTAGCATTACCCAGTTTCCTCAGAAACTCTCTTGGTAGGTGTATACTTCTGCAAGTTTCTTGATGAAATAGACAGTTGGGAGCTGTCCAACTCATCCTTATTTGTTGCTATTTATTGCTATTTCCTCAATTGCTATTTTAATTACTATGATTGGGAAACAAATTACCTCAAAATTTGGGGGCATAAAAAAACCATTTATTTTTGCCTGTGTATGCTGTGAGTCAGGAATGTGGAAAGGCACAGTGGGGATAACGTGTCTCAGCTCCATGATGTCTGGGACCTCAGCTGGAGGGCTGACAGCTGATTTTGGCTAGTGGCTGCTGGCCTCAGCATTTCTCCACAAGGGCCACTCGAAACAGTCTCTCTGTGTAGCGTGGTTTCTTGCTTCCAAGAACAAACGAGCCAGGGTAAAGCCATGCTTTCTTTTATGGCTATGATCTTGAATTTCTAGCATCACTTCTACCCTATTCTCTTCATCAAGGCAGCAACAGAATCTCTGCCCAATTTTAAGGAAGTAGAAATAGGTTCCACCCCTTCATGGGGTGTGACAAAGGTCTGAAACAGCGTGTGGGGCTGGAAATATTGTTGGGGCAATTTCTGGAAAACACAGTCTGACACAGTTGCATAGCACTCATCAGAGATAGACTTTGTGAAGTTTCATGCTTCCAGTTCTCAACTGTACCAGAGGGAGTGGTGGACTTGGATTTGAATCAGAGCTGTGCATTTACCAGCTGGGAGACTGACGAAATTACGCAGCTTCCTTAATCCCTAATCCCTAATCCCTTCCTTAATCCCTAATCCAAGGATAGACATGTGATCCTCACAGTTGACACTGAGAGGAAAAGCCATGAAAGGCTGGCGTGCAGTGACCTGAAAGAACCCTTCAAAATGAGTGGGCTGAAGCAAAAAAGCAAAATGGCTGCAGCTTGATCTTTTGCTATATTGGTCAGTGTTACAAATTGGTCATTTCAAAATGATGAGAACCCATTGCATATTGAGAACAAGTCAGGAAGATTTATTTCTGCTCAAAAGCTTAGTCAGAAAGAAAAAAAAAATGACCAAAAAAATTGGAAGCAAGAGAGGAGGCACTAGCGGCAGGGCTGGGGACAGAGATAGTGATGAGCCTAGATGTTTGTTGTGATACTAAGGCCAGGAAATACTGCATTTACTTGGCAGGTGCCACTATGAATAGGGTACCAATCTAACCAACGCTTTATCATAAAATGATAAATATAATCCTATTTTTAAATGGGAAAATTTAATTCCTTCCTAAAAAGTTTTTGAAACATAAATATTTTATGAATTTTTTTGTCCTATTCCCTCCCTGCCCTCTATATATATACACAATACACACACACACACACACACACACACATCTTTGTGAATTTTTTTGTCCTATTCCCTCCCTGCCCCTCTATATATACACAATACACAACACACACACACACACACACACACACACACATATGTGTATAAAATCTCCTGGCTTTAGAAAGTCACGTGTACGACATTAAATTATATGCAGAAAAATATTCACTTATGGAGTGGTAGTCTAGCATAGTGACATTTAAAGCATTTCATGAAGATGTTTAGCTTGGTTGAGTTTTTGCCGACTCTAGACACAACTTAGTCTTTAGTCCCTTTAGCAACTGCCTAGGACCCTGATTTATTAAAAAGCTGAATCTCTTCGTGATCTAGAACTTCCCTATCCACTACATAGATGCCACATTTTTGATTCTCTGTAAAATCAAGCTCCATTCAGACATTTGGCAGTGCTGGTGGAGACCTCCTCTGCAGCAGGTCCTGTAACAGGTGTTGAGGGTAGAGCAGGAGCCAAACAAAGTTCTTACTCTCACACAGATTCCTGTGATGACAGGGAGTGGGAGACTGAAAAAGAGTGTGCATACATGTGTGTGCACCTGCACATGTGCGTGTGCATGTACTTTTATTACTATTTCCCACAGGATGGCCAGGAATGATGAGCAAAGATGTGGAGGTTGACAGTGGTTGGAGTGAGAATCGTGGCTATGTGTAAACTCTAAAGTTCTGTGCACATTTTAACTACTCTTATTTAGACAAAAACTAGAAGAACACAAGACTTTGCCCTCTTTCATTAGGCTGAGAACGACTCCTCTCCGAGTGTGTTCATCAAACAAACTTCCATAAAAGTGAATAGGAGAGGCTAGCGTCCCTCTCCACTTCCTGTTAGGTTGGCTTTACATTTCCAAGTAGCCTGGAGTTCGAACATCACATTTTCCAATGAGACGCCCACTCAAACCTCCTAGCCTTGCTAAAATTTCTTGCTCATTCACATGACCCCTGAGCAGGGCATACATACACATACATACACATATCCCTTTCACACCCTTTCAAGCTTTTTCCCTTCATGGCCAGTTTACTCTCCACTTTCAGCCCCTCATTTTTTTTTCCCCTAAACTCTCCCCACCCTTTAAAATTCAGGAGCTGTCTCATGTTCTTTGTGAGTTTTTTTCCTAAGAACTCCAGAGTATAGGGAATTTTCCTGTCTTTATGTCTCCTATTCATTCAGCCATTTGTTATCTTATAGACCTTGGATTGTTTTTATTTCTACCTCTATGAATGATGGTCCTAATTAGGTCTTGTGTGCTGTCCATGTGTACACTGGCGAGGGCAGTGGCTGATCCTTGTGGTTGCTCAGTCAGCAGTCGCTCATTCTGACAGTGATGACATGTGTGGTTGTGTTCGACTGCTCAGTACTGCCCAGATGATTCCTGGAGTCTGCTCAGATGCTTGGCCTCTGTACAGAGTGGTGTGAATTGCAGCGATGAAATTCACTGGTGTGTCTAAATTGTGAGATTTGGCCTATTTTTCCTGGCGCAGTTAAGACAGTATTCCCTTGCACAGGACCCGTTGAGGAAGACATTGATGGAGACTCTTGCTTTCAATTCTTGTTTTCAGCCACCTCACAAGAGTAGTATAACAGAAATGAAGAATGCCTCTGATGGAAGGAAAGATATTAGTGACACTCGACTTTTCAGAAACCATGCAAGCAAGAAGAGAGTGGAGTGAAATATTTTAAGTGTTGAAAGAATGAGATACTGAGTGTGGCAATGCTTGGCACTGCGTCAGCCATCTGGACACTCTGCTCTGGTGTCATTGACCCAGGCAAAAAGGACATCATGGCAACAGCTCAGATTTTCACTTTGTTAGTGTAAGAGAATTTGGTAGGAATAATTCCATGAGCTTGTCCCATTTATTTTTTCAGACGGGAAACTGTATGATGCATACGTCTTATACCCCAAGCCTCAAGGTGAAAGCCAGAGCCATCGTGTGGACACACTGGTGTTAAAGACCCTGCCTGAGGTGCTGGAGAAGCAGTGTGGATATAAGTTGTTTATATTTGGCAGGGATGAATTTCCTGGACAAGGTATGTTTTAAGTGAAGTGAAAAACAACGAATGAATAAAGAGTAAAGAAACCTCTTTCTTCGTCCACTTTATAGATGATGGGGGCTCTACTGGCCTTCCCCATGGTGCCACGGGGAGTCTTTCTCCTCCCCAGCCCATAGCCCCTGTGCTGAGGAGGTTGGGGCCAAACTCTCCACTCTCAGTAGGCTCATTCCTGCAACAGAATAGCTGGGATCCTGATTGAAATAATGTGACTCTCATTTTGAGTAACGATATAGTTGACCCATTCACATGAACAGGTGCCAGGTGCTGTAGCCTTGGCAAAGAGATTGAAATGTTCACTAACCATCACGTCTTTAAGACTAACTGCTAAATATTTTTTGTAGGTTCGAATATGTAAATCAGCTCATATTTAACACTGATTTTACAAAACTCAAGCACCCAACCCTTCCCTACCTAAATAAAATAGAAGTTATGTGTTTATTTCACCCATTTAATAGGGGTATAGCTTTGGGCAGTGCAGTTAACATCTCTGAACCTCAGCTGTCTCATCTGTCAAATGGGGACAAGAACCCTTCCCTGACTTGGACGAGAGAGTTAAATGACTTTAAACCTGAACAGGTGCTCAGTTCAGGTTTACACACTCAGTGGACAAATGTTTTCCCTTTGAAGGTGATACAGTAAATGGCAGAAATCTGAAATAAACATCCTTTCTAGTTGTCAGGAAACCAAGATTACTACTTCATATCATTTGATAGTGGCTTACTCTGGGTCATTTTTAAAGTACTTTGGATTTGTAGGCTGTTCATATCCACAGTGAGACCACAGCTATATCTCACCCACAGCTTCTCAAATTATAAAATTATCTTCCATGAGGAAATGAAACTTAGATATAGTGCTTGACATAAACATGTGAAATAGCTCCCATTTCATAAGCATATCAACATTCATCCATTCACTTATTTAACAAACATTTATTGGGCACCTGCTGAGTACTAGGTAATGCTCTAGGTCCTAGAAATATTAAAATAAACCAAAGAGAAGAAGAGCTGGCTTTTGGGGAGGTTACAGCCTGTTCTTATAGACTAAGTATAAAAGGGATCTAAAACTTAATCTTTATTTCTCAGAAAGTTTTATCCACAGCTGGATAGTTGAAGAATTCTCCCTTCCCCTCCCTATGAAATCATCAGGGTACGTTACTGGTTTCAAGTTAGTCCTATAAATCCTGGTTATTTAAATAGCTATAAAGCACAAGAGGAAAACAAATAAAAATTAACATGACATTTTAACTAACTACATTTTTCTTATCCTTTTAAAATCTATTTCTTTTTTTAATGTGTTCATCATATTCTTTCAGACCTTCAGTTGAGTCTGGGGATACAAAGCTAGGCATGGTAAGATCCTTGTTCCAAGCAGTTTGCCACCTGTAGGTGGAGCTGGTGGGCCTAGGAAAGTGACATACCAGTGACTAACCATCAAAACATGTATGTGATTCATGAACGTAGAGGACCAGTTTTTTAGGGGAAGTCAGGAAGGATTCACAGAGGGGATGATAAATGTTACAAACAAGCAAACAAACAAGCAAGCAAACAAACAAACAAACAAAACTCTCATTAATCCATTCCAAAGTCATATTTATTCTTAAGTCCTTTCTCAGCACCCATTTCTAATATGCTCAAGAACGTTAACGATCTGGGCCGTTTTCTTCATGAGATCTTCTGCATCTTCTTTCTTTATTTACAGCTGTGGCCAATGCCATAGATGAAAACATTAAGCTGTGCAGGAGACTGATCATCATCATACTTCCCAGATCGGGAACTATGGGCTTCGACCTATTAAAGACCATGTCAGAAGAACAAATCGCAGTCTATAATGCGCTCATCCAGGATGGGATGAAGGTCATTCTGATTGAGCTGGAGAAAGTCAAGGACTATACAGCCATGCCAGAGTCAATTCAGTACATTAAACAGAAGCATGGGTCTGTCCACTGGAGTGGGGACTTCACAGAGCAGTCGCTGTGTGCAAAAACCAAGTTCTGGAAAAAAGTGAGGTATCGCATGCCACCAAAAAGGTTCCCACCATCTTCTCCTGTCCAGGTGCTGACATATACACTTGGCGATCTCACTACTGGCGAGTGGAAGGCCAACGCGGGCTTCATCACCCCATGATGGAGAGTTTGTCCTCGTGGAGTAGCTCACAGTTGGACAAAGTGCATTGCATTTGGGCCATCTGCTTGAGGCTTGCTGTTGTGTACTTGTGAGTGGGAGTCTGTGTCTATTTGCTTATTTTGATCAGAGCTACTTCTTCAGGGAAAGACACCACTTCCCCAGAAGGCCCTTATTAACTTATTGGCTCTGCACACGTGAACCTTTGCTGAACATGAGCTAGATCAAGCGTTTGAGCCCCTGCGGAATGGGACATATGGCATTGTAGACTTGCAATTCAGATGTCCGGAAGTTTAGCACACAGTGTGGCACCCGAGAGACCAGGTATGGGAGCCTGGGTAGTCAGAGGACAGCAGGAGTGCAGTCTGAGGTCTTGGGGAGGCTGGCAAGGATAGCGGCACTTTTTAAATGCCTGACCAGTGTCCACTGGGCCCTGGTCCTCAGAGAGTATTTGCTAGTCTATGAGCCCTTCTTACTCTTTAGTGTAAATAAATAGCTGTGACCATGGTCTTAGCAAATTGATACTGCAAGCAACTTAAGGTCATCTAGAACAGTGGGGACCAACAGTGGTGACACTGGGTTGCCCCTTAATCACCCTCTTGGTGGGGCCCATCCTTTGGAAGATTTTATATATCAAACCAAAATGAGTTGTAATCACTTATTGTTCCAGCTGGCGTATATCAGCCCGAATTCTGAGCAACACGTGAGAGACACGGTCATCACCTGAGATGATGTCATTCTAGTCCAAGTAAAACAAAATGACCTTTCAGTTAGCCAAGGCACCCACGTCACAGGTCAAGTTATGATTTAGCAAGTCGTGAAGGTTTTTGGTACTAAAAATCAGCTGTAAACTCTTACCAGGACTTTCAAAGACCCTAACATGAGGAATTTCGATATAGCCCAACTCTCATTCTGTCATTGAGGACACCGAGCCTTACAAAGTGGACTGCTATGGGCAGAATGTTTGTGTCACCCCCAAATTCACATGTTGGACTCTAACACCCAATGTCTTGATATCAGGAGATGAGGCCTGTGGGAGGAAATTAGGTCATGTGGGAGGAGACCTCATGAATGGAGTTAGTGCTCTTACAAAAGAGACCCCAGAGAGCTCCCTCACCTCTTCTGCCGTGTGGGGACACAATGAGAAGTCTGCCACCTGGAAGAGGACCCCCACCTGACCATGTTGGCACCCTGATCTCAAACTTGCAGCCTCCAGGACTGTGAGAAATAAATTTCTGTTGTTTATAAGCTCTCTGGTCTATGGCATTTTGTTCTAGCAGCCTAAACAGTCTAAGGTATGGACCTAATTGCGGGGCCTGGAAAAGGGTCAGCCTGTGGGCAGGACAGGAGATAGGGACAGAGCTTATGGGAAGGGGAGGGGTTTGTTGGGAGAAGAACGGCTTCAGCATGGGGAGGAGCAGGGTTTCAAGGGAGCACAGGATCAGGTGGTCTGGGCTCTTCTCTATAGGCCGTGGAGGGTATAGAGTGTCTGGTGGGGTCTTAAGTGATAAGAAGCACATTTTGGACTTTTAGAATTTATGTTCCAAGGTGACCTAGTGTTACACATCTGCTTATCATCATACTCAGGTCCTGACTCGGCATCAAGCCACTCTATTTAATATTAACTCTTTAAAGATTCTTAAATTGTGGTAAAATATACACAATGCAAAACTTACCATCTCCACCATTTTTATGTATACAGTTCAGTGTCATCAAGTACACTCAGAGTGCTGTGCAACCATCACCACCACCACCTCCAAAACCTTTTTGTCTTCCTCAGTTGAAACTCTGTCCCCATGAAACACTAACTCCCTGTTTCCCATTCCCCTTCCCAGTTTTTGGCAAAGTTCTACCTTCTGTCTCTATAAATTTGATGATTTTAGGCACCTTATATGAGTGGAATCATACAGTATTTGTCTTTTGTGACTAGCTTATTTCACTCAGCAAAATGCCCTTAAAGTTTATCCATAATATTTGCTTTTTGTTTCATTATTCTTACCTAGTTTCTGCCTCCCTTCTTTCTTTCTTCCCCAGTTGAAGGGTGCAGTGAGAGGAGACAGATGCTCTATTTTATTATGGGGCAAAAGCCAACCACCAAAAGTAATAAGCTTACTAGGGTTCTAATCAGATGTTTGTAATTTCTTTGCATCTTGGTTTATCTCTCTAAAATGAGGATAGTAACTCCTCATGGTGGATTCGCCAGCTTAAGTAAAATGAGCTGTTTCTCAAGGTGGACCCGAGAGCAAAATGATGGCCACTGATGTGTCCCTCATTGTGTCCCCCTCGTCCTCCCTCAATCTTTTCTTCCCTAGTTAGTATCTGGAGATTGTCAGCAATGCTGGAGAAGGCTCGGCCACTGTAGGACGTCTGAATGGCACTTTGCTCTTCGTTTTGTCTCTTTTAAAGAAGGAGAAAGGATGACAAAAAAGAATAACCCATAGCAGTATACCACCAGGTGATTTGGACGACAAAAAGGAGGTTTTCTTGTCTCCATCAGGGGGCTGCCCGGCCTCCACCTCCCCCTACCACAGAAGAGAATGTGGTCAAAAGAGACAAGCGCACTTGCACACCCAGCTGAAACACACTGCGCTAAAATGTATGCCTGAGCAAGCTGTGTTTTCCTCTGTCTCTCCTCTCCAGCATGCCACCAATTTATTGCTGTAGGGTGGGGCTGGGGTAGGATTCTGGACACCGTTGAGCTCAGTCATAGAGGCGAGCTGGGTGGATAGGAGCTGCGAGGACGCCGCTGTGGGCCATGGCGAATCCTGCGTGGACTCCTGAGCCTGTTTAGTGTATGTTCCTTCCCCTCTCTGTCCACGATGAAAAATTAAACTGTAATTGTGGGAAATATCAAAAGTCTATGAGTGAATTTCATTCTCAATTTTGAAATGTAAATCATAGTTTTGTTTAGCATTTATTTGGAAATGACAATTTTTTTTTATCAATCTAGAAAAATAAAAACCTATTTCTACTACAACCAAATACCAATCTGTCACTACTATAATTCCACTATCTGGTGGTGGTGTCAACTGAGAAACTGGTCAAAGCCCGACTGTTATTATTAATTACAGGAAAATGTGAGGATGATGTGCAATAACATTTACCCCTTACTTACTGGATATATTGTTTCTGATTCCGAGTCACTGGCACTTACTGTTTTATTTGATTTATTTATGTTGTCCCTGAACTTACCTGAGGAATCATGGAGACTAAGGTTTACATCGTGATGGTGCTGTGGTCTCCACAGACACTCTCACCCTCATTTATCCCTGTATTTTTCCCTTCTTTTTCTTATCTGCAGGATTTACTTACCTTCCCCCCAACCACCACCACCATTGCCACCAGTACAGTTAACATCTTTCTGGAAAATAAAAACATTTATAAGGAGTGAGGCTTGGGCAGAGGCTGGATGATGTCTCAATATATCAAGGGTGGCCAGGTGGCAGACCCATGTTTTTATTTTCTCTCTACCCCAGACTGAGCCATGTGCAAAGCAGACTGGGTACAGCATTTAGATTCCAAGGTTTTAGCTCAAGTGCTGGGATCTGCTACCAATGGCTTTCATATTTTTTAAACTACAAACTACAGGGTTAAATATGTTTTATATTGCAGGTTAGTATACACATACACACATGCACACAGATTGAAAAATGTGTTTTCTATGTTACTTTTTTTCTATTTTATTCTAGTCCAGATTTTCAAAATGCGGGGTCACAGCCCGCCAACTTGTTTAATGACAGACTTGTGTTTCCAAAGCAATTTGAAAAACATAGCTCCAAATTCCCAGCCTGCTTGTCACCCAGTCAATTATGATATTCTGCTTTCTTCAATCAACAAAGCTTTCTCAAGGACTTATTAGGACTCTTATTATCTACACTTCCGGATCAATTAGCTCTGTTTGCTATTTTAACTGACCAGAGGGCAGCAGCATCTTCCCAAGAGCAGTTTTAAGTGAATACAATTTCCTGCCCGCGTTAAAGGATGACGTTAGGAGGAAAAGAAAGCAGCTCCCATGAGTGAAGAACCTGGAAGAGAAAGGCATTTCCTCCCATGAGACAGGAGAAACTGAGGGTCCACCCCGTTAACTTGGCAAGAAATAGAAAAGTTGCCTCCCCGCGGCGCCACTGTGCCCTCTGCTGGGGTCTGAG